TAAAATTCTCTTATTGCATATATGATTTGCAGATGTTTTCCCATCCCATGGGTTGTCTTTTCACTTTCTTGATAGTATCCTTAGAAGCCCAAAACTTTGATCAAGTCTACTTTATCTATTCTTTCTTTTGTCACTTATGCTTTTGGTGTCATACCTGAAAAACTACTGCTTAATCCAAGGTCATGACAATATCTAGAGTTTTACAGTTTTAACTCTTACATTTAGATTTGTGATCCATTTTCAGTTAATTTTTATATATGGTGTGAGGTAGAGGTCCAAATTCATTCTTTTGCATATGGATATCTAGTTGTCCCAGCACCATTTGTTAAATCTGTCTCTCTCTTTTTTTTTTTTTTTTTTTTTTTTGCGGTACGCGGGCCTCTCACTGTTGTGGCCTCTCCCGTTGCGGAGCACAGGCTCCAGACGCGCAGGCTCAGCGGCCATGGCTCACGGGCCCAGCTGCTCCGCGGCACGCGGGATCTTCCCAGACCGGGACATGAACCTGTATCCCCTGCATCGGCAGGCGGACTCTCAACCACTGCGCCACCAGGGAAGCCCTGTCTCTTTTTAATGTCCCTTTGTCTCCAGGCAGCTGCTCCCAACCCCAGCCCCTCTGCTGCCTTGGAATGGATCACCACTGCAGGAGAGGAAGCTGCTACTGTGATGAATTCTGCCATGTGGTACCAGACCGCTGCCTGGATCACCGTGCCCTCTGCAACACTGGTAACTCACATGCAGGCTCCATTCCACCCCCAGCAGAGCTGGATGCTGTGATTGACAGAGGCAAGCCCCTTGCATGTACTTTAGGCCAAGGCCAGGGTGTGGACTGGATGGCTTCTAAGGTCCCTGACATCCCAAGATCCTGGCATTCTGTCCATTTCATATCAAAAGTGCCTACACATTCCTCCCCGCTTTCTTTCCCCACTGCTCCTTGCCACCTGCTGCTCCCCTCTGAGCCACTTTTGCAGGTCCCACAAGGAGAGGTTCAGCTGTTGGTGACTGGGGAATAGGGTGGGGAAATAGGGTGGCTGTGTTGCACCTAACTGTCCCCGCTTCTCTTGCAGTACAGATGCCTCTTGACCTGTCCCATGTAGACTTCTGAGGGCAGACAGGAGTCTGCAGAGAGGTGCTGGGGGTAATGGGCAGCAGCAGGGGGTGGGAGGCAGGGATGAGGACAGGATCTTTCACCTGTGTTTTTCTGCTCCTCAAACTATCAGCATGGTGCTGCAGGTGGTGCTGAGGAAGGAGAACTCGCCCAAGCCCTGCCAGAAGCAATCTAGACTGGATGCAAAGCATGGTGAGTGCCCTGGAGATGCTCCTAGAAGGGGTGGCTGGCAACCTGCTCCTGCCTCCCTGGCCTCCAAGCCCCAAAGTCAAGGAGCAAATACCAAAGGGGGCAAAGAGCCTGAGCTGGGCGCAGCACTGTTGCAGCCACGGTTTTAGGGTAGAAGCCAGGGTTCCTGCCCATGAACACTGACACTGAATTTCATATAATTCTCATGTGTCATGAAGTAATATTCTTCTTTTGACTTTTTTCAACCGTATAAAAATGTAAAAAACATTCTTAACTTGTGATCTATACCAAAAACCGGCAGCAAGACAGATTTGGTCCACAGACTGTGGTTTGCTGCTCTCTGCCCTAAATCATCCTCTGTTCTTTATTTTCCTTTTGTGTCCCGGCTTCAGCCCTGACCTGTCCAGCTCTCTGCGCAGCACTGGAGGAGAGCTCTCAGCCCCCACCCTAGCCTATTACAGCGTTGGGCAGAAAGAAAGGCAGTATAGCGCGATGGAAAGAGCTTGGACTTGGGAGCCAGATAGACCTGGGTTCAAATCCTGGCTGACCTCAAGCCTTCAGTCTTCTGAGCCTTTCCGCGCCTCCCTTTCCTCATCTGTGTCCTAGAGCTTGCCTTGCAGGGCCGCTGTGGAAGGGCCTGGTTCTTGGTGGATGAACAAGAGAGAGCGGTTATTTGGGGAAATGTAAATTAGCTGGAGAGGCAACAGGCCTTCGCTTACTGCTCATTAGGTCTGGCAGCTTCTCCAAACCAGCCCCTCTCCATCTCCATGAAGGGACTCAAGAAGACGGCCTGACGCCTCCCTGAAGCTCCTCCCCCACTCGGTGCCAGCAGGGCCCTGGAACAAAGCTCAGCCTCCCCTCCTGGGGCCATGATCACTGGGCCCAGGGGTGCTTGTCTCCCAGCTGCCACCCTGTGTGCTTCCCCATTGGTTCAACCAGAGGAAAAACGGAAACCTGCTGCTGTCGTAAACACTGTTAAATGTGCGTAGAATCAGCCGTAGAGGTTTCTATGCTACAACCCAAGGAAATAGGGGCTAGGGTATGGAGGGGTCCATTCTCAGGGCTTTGCAGACTTAAATGATTCCCACCGTCTCTCCTTATCTACACATTTTGAACCTGTGGGGACCCACTCAGACCCCCAGAGTTGGTATAAAGATTATTTTAAAGAGGAAACATTTGACCTACAGAAGATGCAGAAAGAAATGTTATCTGAACTTCCCTTATCTGACTAAAACAGAGCCTTCTAAAAATACAGCTGCCATAAATCTCCCTCCAAGGGATTTTCCGGCCAATTTTAGCTGCCGTGGAGACAGACTGCCAATAGAACCTTCCATATTTTCCCACAGAGGTCCTAAGCCCCATGCCTTTGTTAAGTGTGGTGGAGAAACCTTTGTCTCTGGTTATTCAGTGAGTTACTCATTACTAAGCAACTCCCTGGTGCACGTGTAAATAAACTTTGTCTTTTCTCCTGTTCATCTGTCTTTTCTTAGTTAAGTTGCAGGCCTCCAGTCACTGGACCCAGGTTGGAAGAGGAAAAAGTTTTTCCTCCCAACAAACACAGACCCAAATGGCGCTGGTGACAACTCCATCCTTCCATTTGTTCAGGCTGAGAAGTCTGTAGTTTTCTTGACTTTTCTCTTCCTTTGACAGCCCACACCGATCTGGTAGGAAGTCATGTTGGCTCTACGTTCAAAATATATCTAGAATCTGACCAACTCCAGCCTCCTCTGGTACCACTGTGGTCAGAGCCACCCTCCTCTCTTACCTGGACTAGGGCAAAATCCTCCCAACTCTATTCCAGTTTCTATTCCAGCCCACAGCTGCCAGAGTGGTCCTTCTAAAACCCAAGTTAGAACTGGTCACTCCTCCGCTCAAAACTCCCCAGGGGCTGCTCCCACCTCACTCCAAGAACCCAGCGCCCAAGGCTGGCAAGGCCCTTTGTCACCTATGCCTTATCACCCTGCTCCCCTGCCCCCCAACTCTGCCCTCTCACGTGGCTCCAGCCACACGCCCTCTTTTGTGCTTCTTGAACTAGGTCCTGCCTTAGGTCTCTGGATCTTTCTCTAGCACTTCCGCTGCCTGGAGTGTTCTTCCCCACGTAGCCACTTGGCTAACTTTCTCACCAGCTTGGAATCATTGCTCAGATCCCATGGTGCTATTTGATACTTTAATCTGTCCCTCACCTCTCCACGCCACACACACCAGGTTCTTCTTACCTGTCTTTTTTTTTTCTTTTTTCCATAATATTCATCCCTATATTGTTCACTTATTAATGTTTGCCATCTCCTTTCACTGGGAAGTTAGTTCCGTGAGGGCAGGGATCTGTCTTACTCAGTGCTGTTTTACTCAGTATCCTGGGTGCCTAGAACAGTGTCTGGCATCTAGTAGGTGCTCCAGATATGTCTGCTAAATTAATCAAACCAGCCTCCTATGCTCATTCAGGGTGAGAGCTGAGTTGGGCTGAACAAAATGTCCAGGAACTTTCTGGATAAGACTATTATGCCCCCAGGGCCAACAGTCATGTGTCCAGACTTGGAAATTCCCCAGATACAGGGGAAGATGGACCAGACAAAATTCAGCAAAACCCAGGAAAGCACTCAGCCAGGATTCCCTTCTAGCAGGTTCCTGGTTAGATCTCATCGTAGACAACTGGGCTAGAGCTGAGCTGTTGATCACTTAGAGGATGAAAAGAGAAAGGAAATGGAGAAGGGAAGTCTGTGGTGGGGGTGCAAGGGCACCTGGAGTACCTCGGTCTGTAGATTAAGCCACTGGCCGCTAGAATGAGGAAGTCCCTTTCCCCGCTAGGGTGGGGCTGACAGGTGGGCCAGGACGGGAGGGAGGCGGCTCAAAGCAGTTGCATTCTTTCTGGATTTCTCCTCTGTCTTCTCAAGGGTGAAGAGTCACACCAGATCACTCATTACTAGATCGGGTCAAACAGAATTCAGGTCACTGCTATGGCCCTGGGGCCTCCTCTCCCCACCTACCCACCCCCCAAGGGGAAATCCATTCTCCCATTTTATAAAGTGAAGGACTGAGGTTGAATGGGAGGGTGGAAGGGCTCAGCCTGGCAGGAGTACTATACAGATTAACAGTGTGGCTGGAACTGGGGTCCAAGATCCTTGACCCCAAGTGCTGGGCTGTGTCCCAGATGGACCCCTCAGTCTCCTCTCATAGAGTCTTCCTCCCCTCATCCCACCCCCGTGCCCTAGAATGACTCCCTTCTCCTTCCAGGCCACAGAGCCCTTTATCCCAACGGAGGGTGAAGTTCTAGAAGACAGTGGCTCACACCAAACGCAGGACCTCAGACTTCATGGCCAAGAGGACCTCAGAGGTCTTATTGACAGAGGCCCAGAGAAGGCAAATAACTTGTCCAAGATTGCACAGAGTTCTTGGGCCACTACCAAGGAAGGAGCTGGAAACAGAACCTAGACCTTTTTTTTTTTTTTTAATTTATTTATTTTTGGCTTTGTTGGATCTTTGTTGCTGTATGCGGGCTTTCTCTAGTTGCAGTGAGCTGGAGCTACTCTTCGTTGTGGCTCACGGGCTTCTTACTGCGGTGGCTTCTCTTTTTGCGGAGCACAGGCTCCAGGCGCACGGGCTTCAGTAGTTGTGGCATGCGGGCTCAGTAGCCGTGGCTCGCGGGCTCTAGAGCACAGGCTCAGTAGTTGTGGTGCACGGGCTTAGTTGCTACGCGGCATGTGGGATCTTCCCGGACTAGGGCTCGAACCTGTGTTACCCTGCATTGGCAGGCGGATTCCTAACCACTGCACCACCAGGGAAGTCCCAAACCTAGACCTTCTGATTCCACTTTAAATTTCCTTCCAGCTGTGAGATTTTGTGATTTTTCTGACACCTGTTCAGCAAGCTTTCCTCTACTCTGGAGCTGCTTTATTCACAAAACTCTTGCCCTGAAATCCCCAAGATACCTTGTCTGGCCACTGGCTGTGGCCATAACAGCTTATGTCCTTGGCCCTTTGAGGGGATAAGATTCTTCACTAGGGCATTTGGAAATACATTCTGCAACCTCATTCCCCGTCTTGTGGCCAAATCCCCAAGGTTCCCTAAGTAATCACCCTCAGTGTCCCTCCTCCCAGGCCTGGGGACTCAGACCAGCGCACTTACACTTTCCCTTCTCCCAGCTGTGCTCTTCCTACCCCACACCTCCAGTCTGGCCCAAGACATGATCCTGCCTCTGGCTGGGATGCAGGATCACAGGATGTAAAGATGGAAGGATGTTAGGGATCAGAGTCCTGCCCCACACTGGAGAGCCGTCTCCTGCAGACCTCAGGGGGCTGTTCCTTCTCTCTGTTGCTTGAGGATCTGACTGGACATCAGGGCCTTCACTCATTTATTGAGCACCTAAAATGTATATGTTTTCAACAAGCACCAAGTATGTAGCAGGCACTGGTAGAGCCTTTTTATCTCATGTGAGCCTCATGAAACAGCCCAGTGAGGTAAGGATTATGCCCATTTTACAGATCAGGAGGTTGAGGTTCAGAAAGTTCTTCAATTTGCCCTAGATTATAGAGCTAGTAAGTCTAGAATTAGGAATAAAACCCATGTTTCTCTAACTAGAAGTCAAAGCCCCATGCACAGGGGGAGAGGGAGGGGGGAAAGGCTATGGGAAGGGGGAAATGTGTGTGAAACACCATCTTCCATGGCCTCCCTGCCTACAGGACCCAGGGGATAATATCACTGTGGAAATGATTCCATAGCTTCAAACCAAACTTCAGAGAGGGGGGTGTCAGTGGGCAAGGGGGGCAGGAGGGTTAGCTCCTTGTCAGCCCTGACACACAACCTGCCAGCTCTCAGCCTGTGCACTTGTGATCACCTGGTTACACCCTGGAAACTACCCAGCCACACCTAAGCAGGTGGCCCGCCCCTGCTCCGCGGGTTGAGCAAGCAGGAAAAGGTGGCAGCAAGAGGCAGTGGGCAGATCTGCTGGGCAATGGTGGCCAGAGCCCCAGCTAGGATGGCCTTTCTCTGGGGCCTGGCTCTGCCCCTTTTCTTCTTCTGCTGGGTGGCTGGGCCTCCTAGGAGCTCTGCAGGTAAGGAGGCCAGAGGGTGCCTGTGGGCTTCTCTCCTGACTCTGGATGGGAGCTTCTGTACTGCAGCCCTTTGTGGGTGAGGGTAGCTCTCTCGGGTTAGTTATCATCAACCATAAAGCTATACATGAAGTATTACTATGGCTGGTAGTATGCAACGGCACTGGGTCAGCTTAAGCATGTGGGACTCTGCGGTCCACACAAATGTGAGGTTGCTGTGGGTTTGTCTTTATGCCTGTGAGGGTGAGTACGTGGGGCGGGGAGATTGTGGGGGTCAGGGAGGTGCAGGCTGGTGATAAATCTGATTAAAACCTAAGAATGTGGCTTGACAAGATTCTTTCTCCTCCAAGTTTATTTTCTAGCATGGATTTCCTTCAAAAACCTATTTTTGTGTGAAAAGTCTGACTGTCACAGGCTGCTTGTGGAGGGTGGATTCTGAGAGAGGCAGGGCTTTTATGAAAGAAGAGAATGAACATTGATCTGTAATAGGAACTGTGCGAGGCTTGTCACATGCATTATCTCTTGTGAAAATAGACTTTATTTTTTAGAGCAGTTTTAGGTTCACAGCAAAATTGAGCAGAAAGTACAGACATTCCTATGTATCTTCTGCCCACCTCCCCACAGCCTCCTCTGCTATTAACATCCCTCACAGAGAGGTACATGTATTACAATTGAGGAAGCTACACTGACACATCATTACCATGCGTTATCTTTTAAGACTTTATTTTTCAGAGCAGTTTTAGCTTCACAGCAAAATTGAGAGGAAGGTACAGGGATTTCCCATATACTCCCACCACTATCTTTTTTTTTTCTTTGTGATCATCACTTTTTTTTTTTGACATGGATATACCCATAACGTTTTATTGAATGAAAACAGTTGTAACACAATATATACAGTTTGATGACATTTTGACATATATACACTACTGATACTATGTATAAAATAGCTAACTAATGAGAACCCACTGTATAGCACAGGCAACTCTACTCAGCCATCACTATCCTTTTAATCCACACAGTTAACCCTGTGAGAGAGATACAATTCTCGTTCTTACTCTCGTCCAGCCCCCCACCCACCGAGAGAAGACTGAGGCTTCTTACTGGGATTAAGTAACTTGTCTGCAGAGCCAGGCTTTTATTCCACACATACATAACCCCTAGACCACACTGCCTCCTGCATGCACTCATGATCTACCAGGCTTGTGTTGCACATTTTTTTTTCTAACTTTTTTTTTTTTTCTTTCTGCGTTGGGTCTTCGTTGCTGTGCGCGGGCTTCTCATTGTGGTGGCTTCTCTTGTTGCGGAGCATGGGCTCTAGGCGCGTGGGCTTCAGTAGTTGCAGCACGTGGGCTCAGTAGTTGTGGCTTGCGGGCTTAGTTGCTTCACAGCATGTAGGATCTTCCCAGACCAGGGCTCGAAACCATGTCCCCTGCATTGGCAGGCGGATTCTTAACCACTGCGCCACCAGGGAAGTCCTGTGCTGCACATTTGACATTTAATTTAATGTAATGTTCACAATCCTATGAAATAGGTACCCCAGCTCCATTCCACAGATGGGAAAATGTAGGCTTGGAGCTGGGAGAATTGGCCGGGTCACAAGGTTGGTAAGCAGCAGAGCAAGCAGCAGAGACAGGACTCGAACTCAGAGTCCAAAGTCCAGATGTTTTCCTCTCTACCAGTTTGATTTGAGGAATGGGTCAGGAGAGCTGCAGCATTCTAGAGCTGTAAAGAGCCAGGGTGGGCTTTGCTCTGTTTGAGAAGACTGCCAGTGGGTAAGAGAGTTGGGTGGGGGGTTGTGAGGGCCCCAGAGATTAAGAGGCTATGGGTTTGGGAAGCATGAGGAGGTTTCACCGCAAGATGACCCTACAAGGCTCCCAAGAAAGGAAGAAAATGTGTGAGGGGAGGTCAGTGGTCAGACCCCACAGCTTGAACTTCAGGCTGTGTGGGCAGCCGCAGAAGGGCTCTGCCTCCATCTGTGGGGACTGAGAGGCTCAGAGAACTATCTCGGGCTTTGAAGTGGAGAGAAGCAAGTATATTTCTGTAAAAGCGTGGTTTGTGTGTGTAGGTAGACCGCACTGAACAGGTAATGAGAGCGAGTGCCATGACCACCTAATCCTCATGTGGGTACAGCCTGAAACTCTCGCTATATGAAAGTAGGTTGTGTGCTCTCAGGTGACTCCTTGAAAGGACGTGGTCAGGGAGGGATGCTTAATAACCCCCTGCAGGCTTTGGAATGTAAGGGCTTCCCCATTCCCCTTCCCCTCTGGTCCTCACCCCCACAGCAAGGCAGATATGAGACCCTTGCTGGTGGGGGACAGAGTCAGTATTTGCACCAGTAAATCATCAGACTCCAGAGCTGGTAGGCGACACATCTGGGACTAGAAGCCAGTCTCTTGCCTCCTGGCCCAGTGATGCTTCATTATCCAATGGGAGACACAAGAGGACAAGCCGAGGACCTGTCCTGACACCCTAGGTAGAGGTGACCAAATGGTCCTGGCCCTCCTTTGGGCCCTTGGGTACTTTGGGGCCAGTAGGTCTCAGGAAAGACCATCTTAAACCATAAGAACCCTGAAAAAGGGTGGTTATATTTTCATCTTTTCCTTCCAAGAGTAGGGTTACTAGATAAAATACAGGGTGTCCACCTAAATTTGAATTTCAGGTAATGAGTTTATCAGTATAAGTATGTCTTAAATATTACATGAGAAATACACATACTAAAAGAATTTGTCATTAAAATAATTCCTTGTTTATCTGAAATTCAAATTCAAATTTAACTGGGCATCCTGGATTTTTAGTTGCTAAATCTGGCAACTCTCCTCAAGAGGCACCATGGCCTCCATACAGAGAGAGCCCCTCTCCCTCTGTAGACAGGAGAGGCACCCTTGTCAGCTCCTAAATATTTGCTGTAGCCTCCCCCGGGCAATGCGTGCCTGCTGGCCCTCCACTCACACGACCTCAGAGTGTCGGTCCAGTGAGCAGAGACATCCTGCCCTGGGGAGACACGCTAGCAGCTTCTTTCTAAAAAGTACAGTTTTGCTTCACCTGGCTCCCTGTTTCCTGTGGAAGACGCTGGGTTCATCATTTCTGGCGTTCTGGGGTTCCATCCTTGCCGTCTAAGGCCCGCGTTCAGGAGAGACTTGAGCAGGTGGACAGCTTGCCCTTTTCCTTTGCTAGAGCCCTGGGGGCTCTGCCTGCTTCCCTCTTTTGCAGCGGCCATCACCCACACTGTCCAGGAAATTCCTCTCCTCCAATCCCTGCAGCTACCTCTCAACACAAAACCACAGACGTTTCTTGTGGTTGAAGTGTTTTACTTCCATAGGGAAACAGTCACTGGATGAGAAAAGGATTGATAGGAAAGTGACAAGGGGGTGGTGGTGTGATGAATTGGGAGATTGGGATTGACATGTATACACCGATGTGTATAAAATGGATGACTAATAAGAAAATAAATAAACATTAAAAAAAAAAGTGACAAGATTCTTCCAGAAAGTTCTAAGAGTCATGGTCCCTGCTCTGCAGTTCTTGGCTCACTTGGGTCTTCTGCCTTTTTTGCTCCCCCTTGAAGCTGGATCCTGGCCCTACACATTCACTCGGATGGTTTCAGACCAATAATCAACTAGATTCTGGGGATTGCTTGCCTCATGTGGGCCATCAGAGGACATCAGTCAGGGCAATCCCAGTACCGTGGCTGCCACATGGGCCTGATCTTCCCAATAGTGCCTCCTCTTCCTTGAATATATAGATGAAAAATAGGGTAAAAGCAGTCTCCCTCCCCACCTTCCTCCCAGCAGTGCCCAGGGCATAAGCACAAGAGCTTGTGTGAAGTCAGTGCCCTGGGACTCATAGCTCACAAAGTTGGTCTTACCCAATACAGGCCCCAGCACCAGTGAACCAGGCCACACGGAAGTGCCTGCTGTGACTCCAGGGGTCAGGACGAGCTCAGAGGGAGTCTTCCAGACCACTGACCTCACTGAGACCTCTATGTCAAACCATGTCTCTTTGGAAACTCAAACCCTAAGCACCCAGACCTCTGATACGACCTTCCTCCCAGGCAGCACCATTTCAGTAGCAGAGAACAGGGGAAACAAGACCATGGCCCTCATAAAAATAATGCCTTCCAAGTCCTCGGCTGTGATCACCACTCCTATGGAGACATCAGCCACAAGCGGCAGCCCCACGGGACGTGGAATGACCACAGTTGAGACTGTCACAGGCACTGAACTCTCGAAAGCCGCCTTTGACACCCTTTGCAATTTCGACAGCTCTGAAGAGGCAAAGAGAATCAAAGTAGACTTCTTGAAATTAGCTCACACCTCTACAGAAGCCGAGGCCTTGTCCTCGGAGAGCAGCGCTTCCTCTGACAGCTCAGTTCCAGCCATCACCGCCTCACAAGCCCTGTCACCTGACATCACTGCTCTGGCTAAAGCCTTGGTTACCTACAACATCAGCAACATCGAGGTGATCGACTGCAGTGTTACAGAAATGGAAGCAACTGCCAGCACCCCTGGGACCTCAGACACAGATCGCAGCCCCACAAGAGGAGAGGCCCTGTCTACCCCCGAGACATCCGCTTTGCCTGACTCCACTGAAGCAAAATCACACCTCGCCAGGACCACAGCCTCTGCTGAGACCTTGTCAGCAGCCAGCGCCACAGGATCAGCCACACCTGACATCACACTCACCATCAGTAGCACCACAGAAATGGAAACAACAGCCGCCAGGGCCACGGCCCCCAGTGGAAGCTTGGTGACAGTTAGCGTGAACCTCTTGGAAGAAAACTCATCCCTCTCTGTTGAGACAACAAGCCACACCGAGGTCTCAGGAGCAGTGACAATCTCCACAGGGACTGCGTCAACAGTAGGCGAGGTGACTTCCCCTGCTGGGTTCTCAGCTACGGTCTACAGCCTGTCTGAAGTGACTACCATCATGAGCTCCACCCCCTCAGAGACTTCTACCACTGACATCACATTCGGTGCGCCCGCTCCCAACAGCAGGAGCACTCTTCCTTCTGTCCATCCGGCTACGGCCAACAGCAGTCAAGAAACAAACATCACCTTAGCCAAGACCACAGCCTCAGCAAAGACCTTGGAGATAGCCAGCACAGCTGGAGGGAAGCCCTCAACAGCCACGCCCACCAGTGCTCAGACAAGTCTGACAGATGTTACTGCAGGTGAGCGGCTTCCCCCATGTGTGATTTTTGGGGATTTGGGGTTTGGAGTCTGCATGTTTAGGGAGTAGGTAGAAAGGAAGCCTCTGGGGGCCTATTCTGAGCCCTGTCTCTGATGTCACCTCTTCATGATCTTCTAGTGGTTCTTGCCAAAATCAGTAACGAGCAGAATTAAGGTGGTGTATGGAAAAAGTGTGGAGAAATGGTTTGGGATCTTGTCTCTGCCCTTAACAACCTGAGTGACCTAGGACAGGTCCCTCTCCCTCTCTGGGCCTCAGTTTCTCCACCAATTGCTGGAGGAGGTTGCAGTGAAGTCCTTTCCATCTCTGCCATTCTACGGAGTTGACTGTTAAGTAACTACTGTGCACCAGGCAAGGACCCAAGTTTTACTTAAAAGACACAGCCCTCACTATCTGAACGCCTCTGGTTCAGCCAGGGCCATACCATATGAGCATCTGGCCCAAATTGCTGCCCTCTGAGCAGCTGGGACCCCATGAAAATGGAGCTCACTGGATGCACTTGCTGGGATTGGTGCCGTAAATGGTGACTTAAAATAAATAAATAAATGGGGCAAAGGTTTGGGAGTCTAAAGCTACATCTCTGGGCAGGACAGGAATAAAGACGCAGACCTAGAGAATGGACTTGAGGACACGGGGAGGGGGAAAGGTAAGCTGAGACAAAGTGAGAGAGTGGCGTGGACATATATACGCTACCAGCTGTAAAATAGATAGCTGGTGGGAAGCAGCTGCACAGCACAGGGAGATCAGCCTGGTGCTTTGCGACCACCTAGAGGGGTGGGATAGGGAGGGTGGGAGGGAGGGAGACACAAGAGGGAGGGGATATGGGGATATATGTATATGTATAGCTGATTCACTTTGTTATAAAGCAGAAACTAATACACCATTGTAAAGCAATTATACTCCAATAACGATGTTAAAAAAAAAAAAGAAAGAAAGCTACATCTCTAAGACAACAGATATTTCTTGGGGAAGAGGTGCCTTGTCAGCCCAGCTCCCAGTCAGCCTATAGCCTTCACCTCCACTTCCCATCACTCTTTCCTCGTGCCTCATCCCTGCAGTATCCTCAGCTTGCACTGCCCTTTTTTGGGGGGTGAAATAAAAATATTAATCACAACTACCTTACTGAATATCTTTTGTATTCCAGGCAGAGGTGATATAAAAATATTTCACAGCTAGTGAGCATTGGCACCAGCTGAAGTTTCTCTCTGATTCCAGGCAGTAAACTACTGTATGAGTTTTGCATGTTATCTCCTCTAACTAAACCTTCAAAACTACCTTATGAGGTGGGTATTCTTACACCCCACCTGACAGATGAGGAAATAGATTTAAAGATGGTAAAAAAGTAACAGTGGAATTCCAAGTCTGTTTGATTCCAAAACTCAGTCTCCTGTTGTGCTTTTATTTTTAAAGGCTCAATTTATTAATATATTTTTATTTTAAAAAGCTTTTATTTGTTGATTAGATGATACATTCACATGATTTGAAATTGAGTAAGTACAAAAGAGTACACCATAAAATGTCTTTCTCCCATTGCTGTCCCCCAGCTCCCCAATTTTCCTTACATACATAACTGATGGTATCACTTTCTTGTGAATCCTCTTCTGGACATGAAATATGCATATGGAAGCATAAGAAGGAAGATGAAAGATATCTACATATTATATCGATATAATATAGACATAGATACTATATCATATAGATATAGAATAGTATCTCTCATCTTCCTTTTCATGCAAATGAAGCATGTGTTAAACACAGATCTCTGAGACAAGGCCATTCTTTTTTATGGCTTCTCAGTATTTTGTTTTACCATGATTTATTTAACCAGTGTTTTATGGATGGACATTTAGGTCTTTTTTTTTTAACATCTTTATTGGAGTATAATTGCTTTCTAATGGTGTGTTAGTTTCTGCTTTATAACAAAATGAATCAGTTATACATATACATATATCCCCATATCTCTTCCCTCTTGCGTCTCCCTCCCTCCCACTCTCCCTATCCCACCCCTCTAGGTGATCACAAAGCACCGAGCTGATCTCCCTGTGCTATGTGGCTGCTTCCCACTAGCTATCTATTTTACATTTGGTAGTGTATATATGTCCATGCCACTCTCTCACTTTGTCCCAGCTTACCCTTCCCCCTCCCCATGTCCTCAAGTCCATTCTCTAGTAGGTCTGGATCTTTATTCCCGTCTTGCCCCTAGGTTCTTCATGACCTTTTTTTTAGATTCCATACATACGTGTTAGCATACAGTATTTGTTTTTCTCTTTCTGATTTACTTCACTCTGTATGACAGACTCTAGGTCCATCCACCTCACTACAAATAACTCAATTTCATTTCTTTTTATGGCTGAGTAATATTCCATTGTCTATATGTGCCACACCTTCTTTATCCACTCATCTGTCGATGGACACTTAGGTTGCTTCCATGTCCTGGCTATTGTAAACAGAGCTGCAATGAATATTGTGGTACATGACTCTTTTTGGACATTTAGGTCTTTTCCAGTATTTTGTTATGACAAACAGCCCTGCAGTAAATAGCACATTTTTCACATGTGTGTCATTTTCTGTAGGATAAACTTCTAGGAGTGCAATTGCTGGATCAATTCTAATAGGAAGAAATGACTAAAATGAGGCAGGTAAAGGCAGGCATATTAGGGCTCAAGAAAAGACGGAAGTTGCCTACAAGCTGCTAAGTCAGGAAGGCTGGATTGAAAGACCTCTGCCAACCTGGAGCTGGAAGCACTGGCTGAGGACATCCCCTCAGAGACCAGCCTCTCTGCAGCCTTCTCCCCGGCTGGCCCCTTTCCCAACAGCCCCATCCGGGCCTCCAGGCCTTGAGAACATTCTAGATCCACTTTCATTTCTCCTTCCTCACACTACTCTTTTGACTTCTCCAAATGTGGATGGGGCCTCTAGCCATCATTTCCTTCCCTCTTGTTGGGAAGACACTACGATGGGTCCAGTTACTGGAGAGAAGGAATCCTTTCTCTTTGCAGTGAATAGAGGTAAGATCCTATGTGAACACAGACTCATTTACACACGAGTGTGAGCACACATATGCAGCGTGGGGACAGAGACTGGGTAGCACAGTTCACATCTTGATTCCTGAAATGACTTACCCATATTTTCATCTTCCTACTGTTCTCAACTTGCAGGTGAGGATGGAGGCTTCCTCCTCCTGAGGCTGAGCGTGGCCTCCTCAGAAGACCTCACTGCCCCCAGAGTGGCAGAGATGTTGATGCAGCAGGTGAGTGGCACTTTCTGTGCCGGGGAGTAGAGGAGAGTGAGAGGTTCTCGGAGACCCTGGGGAAGATCTCCAGGATACAGAAGATACTGTACACTTGGGAGGGGCTAGCTTCTTATGGAGTATTAGGAGTGAGATCTAAAAATCCCTGTCTGGCTTTGCTTCTGCCTGTTTTTCCTGAGTTCTGAATTCCTCTTCTCTGCTATGTAAAAAAAGATTCTTTCCCTCATCCCAATTTCCTCAGGCTTTAGGAAGATCAGGCTTTCAGGCCCCTGGGAGAAGGTCAATGTTATAAATGGGCAGATAGGCAGGACTTTAGTTGCAAGTGGCGGCAACCCAACTCATCGTAGCTTATACAATAGGCAAGGTATTGGCTGAGAAACTTAGAGGTGGCTGTCCAGCTTCAGTTATGGCTGGATCCAGAAGCTCAAACAGGATCATCAGGATTTTCTCTTTCTCTCCCCCTCTTAGCTCTGCTCCCTTCATTCCTCAGAGTCTCTTCATATGTAAGGAAAGGTGGCTGTGACAGCCCTAGATTCACAAGGCACTTACCTCTCCCAAGATCTGCATATCGTACTAGGGAAGGACGGATCTCATTGACCTGGAAGGGCCACCATGACTGACAGCCCAACCTGAACCACATGGAATGGGAAGGAAAGGCTCTAAAGGAGATAGGGATATTAGACAGAAAACAAAAAACAAACAAAAAAAACACCATAGATGTATGCTCTAGATGGGGACCCAGATTATATTTGTAGAAGTTGGGAAAATTCTAAAACCCAGATCCCTGGACAAAGCTTCTAGTGGTGGAATTCTAGGTTTAGGGTTTTGGGGGATGGTGTGAGTCATTGGAAGGTTAGAATGAGTCAGCTCAGCCTAACTCTTGTGTCCCCATCTTGCTTCCAGGGGATGATGGGAAGAGGGAATATTTGGGCCCTAGAAGTTCTCTTAGTGGAAGGGGGGCCTATCAGGACTCCCATAATAAGGAGGTCCCTGAACATGGCATGGGACTTTGAAGTGGGAGAGCCAAATAAGTGACAAATTCCCACTGCACATGATAATCCAAGTAGCAAGTGTGAATCCTGGTTGAAGAAGGAAGCCAAGGATATGTCAGATCTGAGCCCCTCAAACTGGAAACTATTTCAGGGGTCAGAAAGAAGCCAGGGAGATAGGAGCAGATCAGGAGCAGAGGTGCAGGAACCAGGCCATGCAGGTGTTGGGTGTCAGTTCTTGTTGGGAGCTGGCCACTGGCGAAAGGCTCAGGGGTCAGACAAACAACAAACGTTGGCGCCACGTAGACCTGAGTGTGAATTCCAGTTCCTAACTGTGTGACCTTCGGTAAGGTACTCCATATTACTTTCCTTCCTCGTAAAATGAGGCTGGTACTACCTGCTTTCTAAGGTTACTGTGAGGTTTAAATGGCATGAAGGACCTAGCCTATGCCCAGCCTGCAAGAGGTTCAGAAAGTGCTGCTGGCCTCCTAATATGTTCCCTTTTGCCCACCAGCTCGACCGTAAACTGCATATGTTTATGTCTCCCATCCAAGTCTCCCTGCTGCGTGTCAGGAGGGGCTGAAGAACATCAGCTGTGATCAGGCACTGCCACGTGTGGAAGGGGGCAGTGCTGCCTGCAGCCTGGGCCTCAGCACGACTGGAGCCATGTTACCTGGAAGGTTCCCATGTAGATCAGCAAGCCACGGCCTTACCCGGTCATGGCAGTGGGACCCTGGCTCACATATGCCTGGGTGTACGTGTGTAGGGAGCGGGTGGGGTCTTCGCCTGTTCCAGAGATGTCCTTGGACTTCCCCTGGCATGTGTGTTGTGTTTCAGTAAAGAGTGACCTGATCACCCATCTGTCACCTGCTGTGTGCTTCCATCCTACATTAAAATTACACTCAATGTGGCCCAGGGTCACGGTTTTATGGTACAGGAATTTTGTGCACCCTCACTGCTACCTCCCTCCTTCATGCTCCCCAGGTTGTCAGTTTGGACCTTGATTACAGCACTGACTGAGGCTGGCCCTAGAGCCTCTTGAACTGTGAGCTCCTTCAGAGCAGGAACCACATCTGTTTATCTCGGTATCCCTGGAAACTAGCAGAGCGCCTGGCCTGTAGTAGGATCACAGAGAATGCTTGTTGAATGGACTTGAATTTCAAGTTTTTGATACAAGCAATCCTCAATTATTCCTCCCCCATAGCTCATAAGTCATGTTGTTTTTAAAAATTAAACTTGGCTTATTTTTTTTCTATTGTAGAAGTAAAACTTGCATTTAAATTTTTGAGACCTTCTTAAGAACCAAGGGGTGGGGGGAAAGGAAATGAGAAGTGGGGGAAGAGAAAGAAAGAAATGTCTAAAATCCCACCTCTAGTTGTCTGGAGTTGTCTAGTTGTATGTAATACAACCATTGTTAATGTATATGTTCAGCCTCTCCACGTGGGTGGCTCTGAGTGGATCTCCACCAAGAGGTACATTACATTCAACATTTCCAAGATCAGAGTACTAACCTTACCCCTAAACGTGCTCTGCCTGCATCTTCCTCATCTCAGTTAATGTCAGTTGCATCCTTCAGTTTGTCGAGCCCGAATCCTTGGAACTATTTCTTATTCCTCTGTTTCTTTTTTTTTTTTCCACATGTTATATCCAGTTCATGAGGAAATTCTGTTGGCTCTATTGTCATCAAAATATGCCCAGCACATGAGCCCACCTCACCATCTCTACTGACTGCTCTCACCCTGGTCCAAGCTGCCATCCTCTCACCTGGATGACTAGTATCTTCTTATCAAGCCTCCCTGTCTCTACCTTTTCCCCCCACTCCCTATCTAGTCCCAGTACATCAGCCAGAGCTGTCTTTTTATAATGTAAGACAGACTGTACCACTCCTTTGCTCCAAACCCTCCCATTTCATTCAGAGAAAAAGACACGTTCCTACAATGCTGCAAAACTGTCCACGATCTGCACCCCTACACCAGCCTCTTGAACTTGCTCACTGCACACAAGCCGCACTGACTTCCTTGCTGTTCCCTGAATGCATGCTGCTGCTTCAGGACCTTTGCATGCACTGCTCAGTCTGCTTCAAATTCTTCTCCTCCAGATATCCTCTTGGCTAACTCCTGCACCTCCTTCACCTTCTCAGTGGGCCTACCTAACCACTCTCCTCTGCTTTGATTTTCTTCATAACACTGATCACAACCTAACATAATACATGTTTTATTTGTCTTGTTTATTATCTGTCTCCCTCATCTAGAATGGAAGAGTTTGCACACTGCAGCATCCCTAGCAACCAGATAGTGCCTGGTACAAAAAAGGCTCTCAGTAAATATTTGTTGAGTAAAAGAAGGAAACAACAAGACAACTTGGATATTGCTCTGAATAAGGGGAGTGTGTGTTTTCAATTGACTCCCTTCCTCTTGCAGAGTGGGGCAGAATGAGTTTTATAAAGCAGATTGGACAAAAATAATTCAAACATTCATCTCGGCATATTTGTTCCGCACCTACAACAGAAGAAAGACTATGTTGTGTGCCTTGGGGGATTCAAAGATGTCTCTTCCCACATGGATTAAAGTTAGTAGGGGGAGGAAAACTCCTACTCATGCTTAGAAGCCCAGATCATCCACTACTTCCTCATGGTGGTTTTTCTCAAATTCCCTAAAGGGGAGCTAACATGCTATGTCATGATCTATTTATTATAAGTTTGTTAAATCAGGACAGAGCATCATATATTATCCATCCTTGTAGCCACAGAACCTAGCACAGAGTCACGGAGGGCACTCAAATGTTTACTGAATGACTTAGAGGACGGGCCGTGTGAGCAGATGACCATGAAATATGGGCACTGAGCTCCGAAAGGTAAGAAAATGACATTCAGTGTTGAAGTAACAGAAGATAAATTTAATGATATAACTATTAAGCTGCACTATAGTTAGGCATGAATAGAGAGCAGTTTATATAACACTGCTGTTACAGAAACCCAATTTTTAAATAGTTTTTCTTGTTTTGCACTTATTCAAACAGATGATACCTAATAAAGTGGATAATTTAATCTTAATTACATACCTATAAAGACATACATGTACATATAGTGCTGATTACTGTTATTATTGGAAGCCAAAAAAATCTGTAAAATATGGGATACACCAATTAAAAGCATTTAGGAATTAAAGTGTATAATTATGCTTGTGTGTGTGTGTGTGAGAGAGAGAGAGAGAGAGAGAGAGAGAATTACTGGAAATGACCAAAGTTAGCAGAAGTAATGTTACCAAACCAGCAAGAACCAGAAGTGCCCGGAGAAAATTCTCCAGTTATTTAAGATTCAAACGTGTATATATATGAGATGAAAATGCCACATATTTCGTAAAGACAAAGGTGGTCATGGACCTAAACAAGACAACCTGTCTAAAATCTCCCGTGACTCAGCCCAGACTCCGAAGGCAACAACGCAAGGCCATGATGAGGACAGCTTGAGGTGGAACTTTTCTGACAAGAGGCTTCAACTGAAGCTTCTGCACAGCCCGTCCTTCCTTCATCCCTTGTGAGCGGGACTGGCCACCAGTTAGTGGAAAGCAGTGAATGGTAACTAATCCCGTGGGTGCACCACAAATTGAAGTGAGTGGGCACGTTATTTGATATCAATAAATAAGTACATCGGTATATCATACCAGTGATCGATTAGGCATCATCCTGGTCGTTAAAAGCTGGCCCAAGGGTGTTTCTGAAAGGTTCCTTTGAGAGCAGGGAAGGTTGGGCAGGGGAATCTGTGTCTCTGGCCAAGCATCTTCCCAGACAGCTCCCTTCGCTCCCCCAGTGCCCACTGAGGGTGTCTCAGCTGCTTGCCACCAACCGGGGGTAGGGGTGTGTGGTCTCTCCTTCCTCTCTGCTAAGCCAACACGTGCCTGGAGCCCTGAAGCAGAGCCCATCAGTTCTTTATTCCAGGTGCATAAGTGACAGAATCACAGAGCCGGGGAGTTGATGAAAATGTGCAGCTGTGTCCTTGATCTAAACGTACCATTCAGAAGAAGCCTTTCCTTCCCAGCCAGGAGGCTGTCCCCCTCAGGCGCCGTCCTCCTTTCTCATGACTCCCTCTCTCTACATGCCCAGCGCCTCAGCCGTTCTGACCAGGTTGCCAGATAAAATACAGTACACCCAGTTAAATTAGAATTTCAGATACACAATGAATGCTTTTTAAAATATATGGATATCCCAAATATTTCATGGGACATTCTTATAGTAAAAAATTGTGGTTTATCTGAAATTCAAATTTAACTGGGCTTTCTGTATTTTTATTGTTAAATCTGTATTTTTATTGTTAAACCCTACTTTTAATGCCTCCACTTCCACCAGTGTCCCCATCTCTTCCCTTTTCCCAGTCTGTGGGTTTCCTTCTGCTGTGGCAAGCCCCCAGCCTTTTCTTAGGCTTATGGACAGCTCCACTGCCTCTGGCAGGAATGTCCGTGACACACATTCTGTCTTTCTGCTCCACCTCCATTTCTCAGTGGGAGGAGAAGAAGCTTAGTGTCTGAACATGGATGGGGGGGAGAAAGGACTTTGGGTTTGGGTGCCTTGCTCCCTGTTTCCACCTTGCTTTTGTTCTATCAGGTTTCCCTTTAGCAGGTTTGATGACACAAAGTATCTATAATAATCATGTCTTGCACAGCATGGGTAAATCCCTTACCAAGGTCCTGACTGGGTTGAGGATGAGACGTAAATTTTGTACCTTACCCTAAAAGAGAGCCTTCCCCTACCTGACCTCAAGTCACGTTACAAAGTCCTCATCGCATAGCTTAGTTTTGGGATTGCAATGGTCAAGGCACGGCAGTCTCGCCAGTCCAGCACGCTTCCGTCATCCCTCCCTCCTTGTTTTACATTCCCTTCTTTCTAACTGTTGGACAACTCCCCATGCCCCATGCTGTCTGTCCTCAGTGCCATATGTGTTTAATTCTTTTGGTTTAAATTTGTATTATTTTTTAAGTTAATAAAATTTATTTTCAGAGTAGTTTACATTCACAGTAAAATTGAGCCAAAAGTACAGAGAAGTCCCACATAGCCCCTTCCCCCCACACACAATCTCCCCCACTATTGACATCCCCCATCGGAGAGCATCTGTTACATCTGTTACAGTCAATGAACCTATGTTGGTTGACACATCGTTAGCATCCAAAGTCCATAGTTTACGTTAAGGTTCACTCTTGGTGTTGTATGGGTTTTGACAAATGTATTATAACATGCATTTGCCATCATAGTGATGTACAGAATAATTTTACTGCCCTCAATATCCTCTGTGTTCTGCCAATTCATCCTTCCCTCCCTCTTAAGCCCCTAGAAACCACTGATCTTTTTACTATCTCCATAGTTTTGCCTTTTCCAGAATGTCATATACTTGGAATCGTAAGCTATGTAACCTTTTCACATTGGCTTCTTTCATGCAATAATATGAATTTAAGTTTCCTTCATGTCTTCTCATGGCTTGATATCTTATATCTTTTTAGTGCTCTGTAGTATTCCATTGTCCGGATGTACCATAGTTTATTTACCTATTCATCGACTGAAAATCATCTTGGTGACTTCCAAATTTTGGCAATTATGAATAAAGTTACTATAGACATACATGTATAGGTTTTTATGTGGATATAAGTTTTCATCTCTTTTAGGTAAATACCGAGGAGTGCAATCACTGGATCATATGGTAAGAGTATGTTTAGTTCTGTAAGAAATTGTCAAACTGTCTTCCAAAGTGGCTGCACCATTTTGGAATTCCCAGGAGCAGGGAATGAGAATCGCTTTTGCTCCGCATCCTTATAGCATTTGGTGTTGTCAGTGTTCTGGGTTTTGGCCATTCTCATAGGTGTGTAGTGGA